TTGTATTTTCAAAAATTAGTAAAATAAAGTCAAGTCAGCAGTCTCAAGGAGGTTTTACTTACTAAGTCCATTCAGTGTAACCCACAAAGGACCGGCGCAATCAACGGCTGACTGAGATGATAAAATCACCAATCAGCAATGTCTAGTAATAATACAGTAAAAAGAGTAATTACTTAGTTGTCTTACTTTAATTTTCCCAAGAAATCTATATTTTACGCTACGTAATTATTTTACAAAATTTTTTTTTTCATTTTAACAATATGATTTTTTATTAAATTTTTCTAAGTAATCTGTTTTTACCGTGAACTCTCGCGGAAACTCTCGAAACCCTGTGTCGCGGGTGCCATGGACACACATATAGACAACCACAAATTACACCCAAACTCACGAGAGAAATAATTGTAGGCCATACAAATATTTCTCCCGGCCCGGGAATCGAACCTGGGACCTCTGCGTGGCAGTCCGGCATGGTAACCGTTCGGCCACGGAGGCAGTCATATTAAATTAAATATTATTCCTTAATAATGGAAATTATAAATAAGTAAATTAAAACATAGTAATTAATGCTGAATCCCTTCATACAGCATCTCTCATGGAAACCATATTTCCTGTTGAATTTAGGATGTTTTAATTTCATCGGCTTCTCGCAGCATCCTGGATAGATAACGGAGTTCTTTTGCAAAAACCAGAGGTTTGTCGAACTTAACTGAATATGTAGATTTATCCATGACATGCGCGCAGAGTGCAGACTTTTTCACGCGACGGTGTTTGACATCAGTTATTTGTTTTTTGGTTTGGGTAGAAATACTTTTGTTAATTTTTCCAATATAAGAGCTGGCACTAGCAGCAAAACTTATAAACTCCTGTAAGGGAATATTACATTTCGAGAGGCTCAGGAACTAAGAAATCTTCCAGGTAGGCTTGAAATAGGTTTTGATGGACACATGCCTGAGGACTCTTCCGATCTTGTCTATAACACCTCTCACGTAAGGTAAAATGGTAGGTCCTTCCTCGACTGTTGGTGATGTCACATGGTTTTATTTTATTACTTTATATTCTGTAATATTAATGTAATGTAATATTTTTAACGAGTGTTTTTTAATGTTTTCGTTAAAAAAAAGCAATGACATATAAACTCAAAATATCATGAAATCTATTCATACATATATTTGCACGCAAAAATGCAGCCTTATATTTGATTTTTTTTACTTGGAGCTCATTTTGGAAATTATTAACTGCCATCAGATCTGTCTATCAATCTTACACGTAATGTTTATACAAACATAAAATTGAATCAATTCTTTTGAACACTTTTAGTTTTATTGATAACAGTTGCCAGAGATTGCTGTGGAAAGGGGTCCAACGGAGAGACCTTTGTTCAGTAGTGATAACTTATTGCAGGCTAATTAAAAAATATTCACCACCTTCGATAGCTAAGTAGCGTGTTCGGGCTTTTTACTTCTTCCATTATTTGATTTTAAAACCGGAACATAATCGTGTATAAAATGTTTTTTTTTGCCGCAACGTTTCGGATGTGTTGCAACGTCCATGGTCTCACAGCGACATCAAGGTAAATAAAATATTTAATTATTAATACAAAGATCGAACACACAGAAAAAATTTCTTCGATCCGGCCGGATTCGAAACAACGTCTTCTAGCATACCGTGTCAGACGCTATACCAACTAAGCCACAGAACAAACCAGCGAACCTCACGATATTTTATATGTGCTTGTCGTGTCTTTGTATTTGGTTTTTCAACGACTTTATAGTCGTAGCGCTATCTATGAGAAATCTATGAAAGTTTTATCATTATACTTGGTACTTGGTGCAACGGGCTGGTATCCGCAACTCGACGACAAAGCGCCTATTTTGCGTGTCATTATAACAAACTAGTGGAGTAATTTCGCAAAAATAATTGAATATCAATTTAAAAAAAAATTAAAATAAAATACGTTTTATACACGATTAAGTCCCGGTCTAAAAAGTCAAACAATGCGCAATACTAAATTCATCACGTAAAAAATTTAATGAAAGTAATAAAAATAACAATAAAAGTTGGTGTACTTCAAAGTTTTTCATAATAATAACAAGTTAGGTTTGAATGAATAAATGGAATATTTTATAATGCACAGAAAATTACAGTGGCAACACTGATCAGTAATTTAAGTATAAAACCACAGCTTATTGTTTTGCGGCAATTTCGTCCAGGCAACCTTAGTTACAAAGTGTCCACAAATAATAATAATATTTATTGTCCGGAATAGTACACAATATGTAGCACTTTGAAATACAATATCGTCGTTATGAATATTATGCTTTTTTTAATTTCAATTTAAACCTACTTTCACAAATTTTTGTGGATATTTCCCAAAAATTAAGTCTGTAGTTTATTGTGCGATAAGGTCCTTAGCTGGTTATATCTACTAACTACTATAAAGCTGTTAAAATAGCCATTATTTTTAAATGAACCTTTTTTATAAAACCAAGTGACGGGACTAACCGCACCGCAAAGATCTGAGGGACACTGCCACTGAGCCTGTCACCTTGACTCATAAGTTGACAAGTGTCACGCACCTGTTATTTCATCAGCACCCTTACTTTTCAAAACCGGAACACAGTAATGCTCACATTACTGTTTAGTAGCACAAATGGGTAAGATGGCAGTTGTTTTGTTCTCTGCACGTATTCTTTCACAAGTGAGGTCCTTTACTACTACTACAACCGTTTTTAAAATGAATTCAAACCTTTTCTGTAATTACAGTGGTATAATTATAATATTGTTTGTATAATTACAATATAGAACCATAATTATAATATTATATACTAACCTAACTTAATAATATAATTACATAATAATATGATTTAGCAAGAACCTAATATAATCTTTTACACAAATATTCTGTAAATGCAAAATGTGCACAGAAAACCAAATATTTCTTTTTGTGACTTTTTAATCATCATAATATGTCGGTCGATTGTTTTTATTACAACCTGTATGTGGAAGCGACTTTAAGCATTAAATGACGTCAATAGTGTGAATTTGTTTTGTTACTTGAAACAGGTGTACTAAAGTAAGTACATCGATAATTTTGAGCTTGGTGCAAGTTGCAGGAGTTCGTGCAGAGAAAATTTAATATAGATAGATATTTCCTTCGATTAATAGATTTTTTTGCTCTTGTTCATACAAATAAAAAAGCACCAGAGGAAAATACCTTTGAAATGAATATGTTTAAAGATAGCGTAATAAAAATTCAGATTTATGGTAAAATTTCTAATTAATATCACTCAAAACAGAAACAGAGATGTGGCCACAGTCTTATTTGTCAATAGCAATTTTAGTGGCAATAGAGTTCCTTGTGAAAGAGTTCGTCCAGGGAAGTACTGCCACCTTATCTATTTCAACCGCTAAGCATCAGCATTGCTGTGTTCCGGTTTTGAAGGGTAAAGGTGCTGGTGAAATAAAGTTTTTAGTTCTGAGTGGTACTGTTACTGTTATGGACAGGCATGTAGCTTATCATCGTAGCGTACTAGGCGTACGATATGTTCGTCCCGTCACTTAATATTATAAAAAAAATAAGAAATCTTGGGCTCCACTTCTCATTGTAAAATTGAGTACATATATCGCCATCCCCGGAGAACAAAATGATAATCGCAACAAAGTAATATTTAAGGAAAAATAAAAAAAACATGTTATCATTGATAAGTTCTTAAATACTGAACGTAGGTAGATTAATAGTTAGCTTTAAAGAATGAATATTTATTGTGCATTCTATATTATAAATGAAACAGCCGCAAGTTAAGCCAAAATGGAGTAATTTCAATAATAAATAATTAGTTAAAATGGTTAAAATCAATCATCATGTCTGAGCCGAAAATAAGTATTGCATCGTTGACTTATCATTTTATTCTACGGGTTGCAATAGTACAAGTACCGAAGATAATAATTACATATCATCTTATTCTCGAAAACTTTTATTCTGCTGTTACAATGAAACCATGATATGATAATCAATTTTTGCTTTATTTTGCTGTATTATACGAACAGTCCGAACAGTTTGAAACGGGAATAAAATATGATAACTGCGTGTATCGTCATTTCGTGAAATTATTTTTATGAGAACATAATTCTATTGTCATTTATGATATTAAGAAACGTAACTCATTTAGTTTAATATTATCATATAACCTTATTCTTCTGCACTTGGGTATATGTAGAGAATTTGAATAATATTGTATTATTTTGTTATTCCGTAAGTAACAATAAAATAAATAAATAAATAATAAACTGCTTAAAAATCACGAAAAAATTTGAAAAGATGTATTGGTACCTAAAGATCTTAAATATGATATAACACTAAAACTGTGATAATTACAGTTATCTCTTTTTTCTCCGGGGACGGATTATGTATGTTAAGCTTGTGGCTTGATATACTTAACTTGTCTATTTATTAATTTATTTAAACTTTTTTGCGCTATATCGTGCCATAAGGTATTCTCTAGCAGTCAACAACAATAGATTGGTGTTTATTTAAGACAAGATTAACAAAATACCCCATAAATTTAGTAGCTGTAGAGAAGAGTACGTCCTGGAAACTGCCACCTTATTTATTTCTGCCGCCAAGCAGTAATGTGAGCATTATTGCTTTCGGGTTTTGAAGGATAAAACAGCTGGTGAAATTACAGGCACATGGGATTCGTCAACTTATGTCTCAATGTGATGGGTAGTGCAGTTATTCAATCAGTGATATTTGCGATTTAAAACTCAGGTTCTGAGCGAGACGTGTGACTAGGCGCATGACTTGCTCGTTTCGTCACTTTGTAACATCAAATAATGCCAAAATTTGATAATTAATTTGCATGGTACAAAATAAATACCTATACTATGTAGATATAAAAAACTTTTCATGTGCATCAACTATTGGAAATTCAAACATTACCTATCGCTTACTTCTTTTCACGTATACCATACGCTCTCATTAAGAAAACCATCCCACTCGAGACCCACCTACGTGTTAGAAATAACAACATTACATAGTTTTATTAGATGCTCAAGGTATTTTTACATACCTGTATCGTGTATCGTAAGAAATGAACGTTTATTTTGTATTTCTTTTTTTAAATTTGATAGTGCAATGTGTGGTGAGTGTTTTCTTGAGTTTTTTTTATTAAATACATATTGTTATACATTTATATATATATTTAGTTCCTTGTGAAAGAGTTCGTCCAGGGAAGTAACGTGCCCTTGTTTCAGCCTTCAAGCATTAATGTGAGCGTTACTGTTTTCCGGTTTTCTGGGTTAAGGGTTAATGTGCTGTTGAAACTACAGGCACACGTGACTTGTCAACTTATGTCTCAGGGTGACAGGCGGAGTGGCAGTATCCATCAGCTCTTTGCTACTTAAAGATCTGAGTAGCACTCCAACTGTTATGTACAGGCGTGTTGCTTAACAACTTGATATTATAAAATAAAGCTCTATATACTTTTTTCTTTTTCACTTATTTTCCAAAACAAAATTATTTATATTGTTTCTTAAATCTAACCTACCTACTGCAACCACTTTAACGGGTTTATACATAGGTGGCTACAGTCGTCGCACAGCACAGAGAAATTGTTATTTCTACTGCTATTGGTTGAAAAAACAAATATACGTGATTTAAATCCGGAAAAATAGTTTCATTTTGTATGTATAACAATCGCAAAAACCTAAGAACTGGAAGCTCCCTTGTATAACTTTGGTAACAATATTTAATATACACTATTTAATACACAAATTATACACGTCTTATTAAAAGTTACGAGAAACCTAAATAATTAGTTGTGTTAAAGGATTCCCTTGCTGAGAAGAGGGTGGTAATTACAATTACTATATTTTGAGTAGGAATTATTATCCTGTTCAAGGTTAATGTATCTCTTTTTATGATTCCAGGAAAGCCTGATTAGAAGGAGCACGGATTATAGTGAGTGTCGATATCATTATATTTACACCAATTATTTGCACCAATTATTTGATTTGAAAATAAAGAAATACTTTGCACTAGAATACTACTCGGATTTGAGCAATTACCAGGCACTATATACATAGAACACCTGACCATAACCAATTTAGAAAAGTTCGAAAAGGTTTGAGGTCTACCTAGATGGCACCTATTTATTTAATGGAGGTACTATTTGTACCGAAAGGTCCGCTCGGTCTGACGTGTTGGACATAATGACAATAATTTTTAATTTCCTTTTGCTGAAGTTTGTTTTATTTTGTTTCAATGTAAGTCCAAAACTTTGCTAATGTTTTATTTTACTGTATGAAAATTCGAACTGTTGGATTAAAGGCAAAACTTTTGGTTACCTTTTCATAGAACGTATTTCATTGGGACATTATTGTTTTGCGTTCCTTTAATATAAATAAAAACCTGAGCGTCACCTAAGACCCAGATGGCGTTTAGATAAAAAAAAAAAAGAGCAGTGTCTTCCATGGTATAAAATTTTAAAAACATATTAAACCGACTTTAAAATGGAGGAGGTTCTCAATTCGACTGCATTTTCTTTTTCTTTTTTTGTGTGTACATTACGCGTTTACACATGTATTTGTGAACCAATTTTGATGATTCATTTTTCGTTGGAAAGATGGTATCTGAGAATTGGTCACAATTGAATTTGACGAAAATATTCCACCTCTAACTGTGGTAAACCGGTTTCGCGTACTTTTCGTTAACCGATTTCAATAAGACTTCGCAAATAGATGTAATTAAAATAAAAAAGCCGATAAGCAGACTTTTGAGGTCGCTTTTTTTAAATAAAAAAGTTATAATTATTGTTTCTTTAAACCAGGAAGTTACATACACATTTTTTGCACCACCTACGGCACATGTCCAGGCCAATCACGAGTTTGCCATTTAACAAATTGGTTTGACATTGAGAACGAGTTATCGTATAACAATCTGAAATATATTTATATTAATGTTAATATTATACAGACGACATAACAGTAGCATGAGTCGGTAATTATAACACTAACTACCGCATATACTACTTGTATGTATATACAGTCATACCTATATGACAAGCAAAGTAATGTGATCACACCTTTTTTAATTTATATAATATTTATAATATTTTGATTAAAATGTTCTGAAACTGTTTACGAAATTACAATTCCAAATTATCTATATAAATATTAATAATAAACCGTTGTAAAAATTACATCATATTAAAAGTTAATTACCTTTTCCTATTTAACTTTGTACAGGGGCAGTTTTCATTTCGCAGCGAGTAAATGATGGAATGACCTACCACCTCCATTATAAAACGTTGAACCTTTTTTACTTTTAATAAACGATGTTAGCAATCAGCTGAATTCGCTTCGCTAAAAGAGGCGGCAGTCGACTCGGTGTAAACAGCGCGTCAACTGCGCCGCATTCGCTAGCCGAATTTGCTTGCCGAAGAATCGGCAGTCGATCCTGTATAAACACGCCATTACTTGACTTGCTTATTGTAAATTACCTCCTCGCTAAGTCTATATGCAATGATTACGTCCCTATATCTTACTAGTTTATTCATGCGGTACTACAAATACCAATTAACGTAGTACACAATGTGCTGTAACTTATAACGTAAAACTAAAGCACGTTACAGAATGTAAAACACTAACACCGCTGTGAAGTGGGCCATTGTTCATTATCTTGTAAACTCGCAGATTGTATTTTGGTATAATATTCAGACGTCTTTGCTAAAGCTAGGTCTCAAAGATCTCTCTGTGGAATCAAAATATTTCTTAATTAATTTTAAATTATTTGTTGCAGTAATCGGGTCCACAAACCAAGGAGCTACTGCTACTTTTGGCGAGCAAGGCGTTTATGACTGTTTGGCAATGGGCAAACCTGTCTGGGAATGTTATACGGAACAGAGCGGCTTTAATCCTCAATGGTGATAGAAGAATTTGTATTAAAGATGCTATTTAACGGTGTGTTGAACAAATCTAGACTTTGGCATTTACTTTCCGACTAGTCAAAAGTGTTTACCTTATATTAATTAAATAAATATCTCTCTATTATCGCACAGCATTCACTTTTCGTTAGAAAACCCTGCCCTGTGATCACATTATTCGATTTGAAATTAAAAAAAATAATAATTTGGATATTCATTTATAAGGGTTACTAAAAACTTACTCTTAAAATACTAATTATTTCAAATAAACATCCTTTTTTGTGTACCTTAATTAATTATTGCGTTGAAAATGTAGTAATAAATTTATTTTTTTAAATTTATTTACGATAAAACATAGCAAGTTACTCAGAGCTTTAAATCGCAACGATCATAACGAACGAGACGTAAGTTGACAAGTTCCACGTGCCTGTAAAACCGGAACACAGCAGTGCTCACATTACTGCTTGGCGGCAAAAATAGGAAAGGTCAGTACTTCCCTGCACGAACTCTTTCACAAGGAACTCTAATACAACTAAAATCACAGATAATACATGCAGTTATTAGAATGATATGAATTCTCACTTCAGAAATAATTATTCACGTCTCACTGATATACTTATGTGACTCTAGATCTAAATTACTTTCATATGTTTTTTTCACACAAATCAACGTTTCTGGTTCGTCACAAGGTGTGTGACGAACCAGAAACGTTGACACTCGTCCGGAGCGATTACTGTCAAATAAGTAATAATCGACTAAATCAATAGACAATGTCCAGTATTAAGCTTCATTCGCATCATGTGTCTTTTAATTTAGTCGAATATTACTTATTTGACAGTCATCGAGACCCCTAGGTCCCACTAGTTATGGTTGACGGTCGAAACGATAGTTTCATTGTCAATGTGTAGCAATAGTAGCAAAACGAAATTCTAATAACTCTACAATTACGTTATTTATTGTTATTGAATATCATGATGTTTTACTACCACGATACTCGTTTATTTTTTTATGAAGAGACTCCACTAGTTTGTTATTATTATTATTGGTACAAAGATCGAATAAACACAAAGAAAAATTTTTCGGTCATCTTCTGTTATTTTTGTAAACGGCCATATTTATTTACTAATATTATTAGTAAATAAATATGGCGAACTTTGTGAAAAAAATAAAAAACAAAAAACAAAATTATTTTGTGAAAAATAGAAACAAAATAAAAACAGATCCTGTCCAAAAATAAATTGACGTTTCTTGGCGGGGTCGACATATAATTTCTAATTTTTTTATTCTATTTTTATAAGCCATATATGTTTAAATTTATGTCAAATGCAAAAAAAAATTGAAAACAAAACGGGAAACTTCTATGCAAGCACGTGTGATAGCAAACTTTAATATCTTGTCTAGTCTCATAACTCTATTGCTTTTGGTATATTCGGTCCGTTTATTATCCGGCTCGTACCAATTTAAATGATACGATTCTGGAATGGGATGTACTTTGATATTCGCATTCTTTTGAAGGAGGATATTTAAAAATAAAATCTATGAAAGTGATATTAACGTGAATATTATACAGGTTACTTTAATTTCAGATGTTAGATTTTGGGTGTAAAACATATCGAGTTTTCAATTCAATTTAATGTAATGTATTTTTTTAGATACCAAGTGGTGGGACGTACAAGTCGTGCATCTGTCCATAATAGTTGTAGTACCACTCAGAACTTTAAATCGTCTTAGAGTAGTTTTTTATAAAATTTGCTTGAAATTGAATAAATAAAAAAAAATTACAAAGATCTAAGGGGCACTGCCACTGCGCCTGTCAGCCTTAGACATAAGTTTCCCGTGTGCCTGTAATTTCACCAGCACCCTTACCTTTCGAAACCGGAACACAGTAATATTCACATTATTGCTTGGTGGCAGAAATAGGCAAGATGGCAGCACTTCCCTGGACTAACTCTTTCTTAACGAGCTCTATTGTTACTAATTTTTAATTATAAAACATCGCTTTCTTTAATTCGCGGTACGTTTTTTGAACATTTATTTTATTATACTACATTGATATGAATTTGAATATTGAATGATACTATATTACAATGGATTTTGTGTGTAAATTTCCTGATATTATGCAATGTCTACGTGACTTTCCTGCTAAAGATTTCACAGCCAAATGTCTAAATCAACTGCGGTTGGGCTCTGGTCGTTCAATCTGCTGATCTTTCTCTGAATAAGGGAGATTTTCTTAATTGACATTCCCGTAGAGTTTCTTATGATATGGTAGTTTATTATTAAATTATTGCATTTTCTATTTAATAATAGTAAATAATTTTGTAATTAATAAATTAGAAACAATCGGACTATCAATGCAACAGCAGCAGCAACAGCAGGACTAACTAAATTAGTAATAAAAAACTGACATTCATAATATTATTTCGGCTTGTTTAGCAGGTTTAGGTGTATTGACACGCAAGAAAAAAATTAATTCTCCTATTACCTGGGCTTCTTTTTATCATTACGATGGCGTGCACTATAATGCTTACCATTTGAAATTTGGTGAAAGGATTTGCCAATCGGCGTAAGGTACTTGCCGATTAAGAATTAAGTTAATACTATTAACTGCACATGGCGTATTTTATACGCGACGAAGATGCACGTATACGCGCCGTAAACGTGCGCCATATGCGCGTATACCCGTTGCAGTCGCGCGTATGTATATATAGACTGTTTTAATTTTAGTTTTTTGATCGAGTTCAAATAAAGGAAGAGGTTATTAATTCGGCTGTATTTTTTTGTTTGTTAATTTCAGTTACTTTTTGAAATGAAGCAACTACATGAAGTTCTAAGTGTAAACTCCAGTGGAGTACATAAGCTTCTTGTTTGCAACGATGTTTGCGCGCGTTTGAATCGATTCACTACAGCGCTTCTGCGGCGTGTGTTCGCGTAGATGACGCGCTTGTACGGCGCCGTAATTGCGGGTAACTGAAACGCGCGTCGTTGGCGCTTATAAAATAAAATGCCGTGTGCATAGTCTTGCCATGACATTAGCTTACGTTTAAACAGATTTTTGTTATATTATATAGAATTATTTATCATTTTTATAATGCTTAATATCTGCACACGCCGTGAGCCGTGGTAGTGTAATGGTTTGACCTACCGCCTCTAAAGAGAGGGCGTGGGTTCGAATCCTTTGAGTTTCCCGGAATTTATATGCGAATTTTAATTTGTTTACCATGCGCTTTTCGGAGAAGGAAAACATCGTGATGAAACCTGCACGTCCGTGGCCAGCAGTGGGATGTATAAATGGGTTGATGATGACGAACCTCACTCACTTTATCCCGCTTGTTTCTGGTAGTAATTTAACTTGGAAGAACTGTTAGGGGAGACCGGGTGCTAAAGTAACGGGGGTAGAAAGTAACAAACGCAGTGTTGAATAATTATCCAATGGCCGAAATGACGCGCGCGACTTAACAGTCATTCAACAATGTCAGTTCGACGCCCTTCCAGGCTTGCGATTAATCGCCGTGCCCGCGTCGTCGCACTGTTTTGTAAGAGGACGCTACGCCCGAAAGTAAGTTTTTTTATGTTAATTGATTTAGTATTTACGTAATGTTAAGGTGTCAATTTGACTATTTGCCTAGTCATTTGTAATTAGATTCTATGTAGCATGTTATAAATGATTTTTGTGCAATACAAGTTCAGTTTTAAGGTACTTGTAACGACAACGAGGTGGTTGGGTATATAATTGTATATGAGTCATTGTTGCCTGAAGGTCAAAGGCCTGAATATAAAATAAAATAATGTAATTTAGAAATTTGATACATACATCCACAGACAACAATCGAACCGTCGACTTCGACGTCGACCTCTCAATGGAGAAAAGAAAAAACCTACCTAGTAGTTACACGGGCAATAATAATCTCCCGTGTAACTACCGACGGGCCTCATTGGGCTACTACCGCTCTACAAAACTACCTACCAATTTAATATTTGTTGGTTTTGTGTATGTCTAATTTTACTTTAGATCATGGTTTTAAAGTTACATATTATATGCAAAGAGGGCAAGATTAGGTAGTAATAGCACCCTAGAGCCAGGCCTTTAAAACCGGTGCAAAACAATCTATTCGTTTTCTATTAATTTACCTATGTATAGTTCAGCTACTTGCATTAAAGGAACGATTCATATGACGTCACGAACGCCGTCCTGTTCAGAGCGGGTAACAAATGATAGATATTTACAATCCTATCTTCAAAATCCGCTTTCTATTAAGCCCTCGTTACCCACACGACAGCACTTACTTTACCCGATGGTAACTGACAAGTTGAAATATGCAACTGCAATTTTCGGCTGCCAAAAACTCCTATTCATTGGAATACTCGCTTTGAGGCGAGAGGACCTCTCACCCCTAGATTTGAAAGAGACTTGTGCAAAACGCTACAGAAAATTTAAAGTCTTGGCCGAACAGAGATTTATTAGAAACTAAGTCTTTCGTAGTAAAGTTGATATTAGAATATTGGATTGTGTTTGAGAAGATTGTTTGAAAACAAAAAAAAATAGTTATGAAAAGGAATGAAAAGTTACCGCTTTCATTTATTTTTATATTACTTATCATCATACATATTACTAAAAAATTATCCTAAGAGACAACTCTAAGTGGCGCACACAACATTTTCACGTTATTTTTATTTCATCACAAGAAGTTCCGGCTAACTTAGCGCAAGTTCCGACTCTTAACTACAAGCTGTTGAGGTAAAGATTGGTCGCCCGGCAAATTAGTTGACCGTCCGGACTTCCGTGGAGAATTTCACAACGGACCATGGACCACTAACTATGAACATCGGGTATTCCGATAACATCAATTTGCTCCACGCCGGCCTTTACAATCCAAGTTGAGAATTTACCAACTTTGATGTTGTTCGAAGCTAATTTACTGGGCCTCAGTTCCGTTTCATTTGAGTTTTACCTTTAGAAATTCGATGAATAGTATGGATTTTGACTCTTATTTTGTTTGTATGATAGTTTAAAGTATTTTATGTTATTTACATCGGACTAAAAATATCGAAAGATATGGAAAGCTTTTATAGATTTCTCACAGATGGCGCTACAGCCAAAAGTCGTTACAAATGAATATCAAAGATCTGCAACAAACACGTAGAAAAAATCGTAA